GTAGATCCATAACACATGTTTGTCTGAGTAGTTTAACAATGTTGACATTAATACTTATCATACCCCAGCTGTAAAAAAAAAATATATATATATATATATATATATATATATATATATATATATATATATATGCCTAACTTGCCACAGTCACAGAGAAATGGTGACCTCTACAGTCAGTAGTTAGTCAGCCCTGTGCTGCCGTAGCATAAAGTTGTCTGCCTCAATAAATGCGAGATTTGCTCCTATGTAATTATAAATAGCAATTTTTAAGGCAATGCAAACATATACACATTTTATGCATATATGCATGCGTATATTGACTTTCAAGTGTATAGGGGAAAAAAAGTGTACCAAAAATAACAAAACAGAAAAGAACATTTAAATAAAGTAGTAAATGAGATAATAGGGACTGAATTAGCTTCCACCCTTTTAACCCTCTGCTCCCCCACCAAAGCCTGTTGGGGACATCTGACATTTACAGTTCCTGATTCATCATCAGTTTTCCTCAGAACAGTCTAATTACATTTGGAAATTACAGACTCTCCCTTCGAGTAATGTAATTCCCTTAAGAACATCAAGCTATTCCCTTTGCACCCTGTGAAATCAGGCTGGTCAGGTAATTTGGAAGGACAACAATTTCCATTATGTTGTGAAGAAGGTGGATGATACCTTGTCTCACGAATGTCTGGCTGGTGTCAAGGAGGACCTCACATCCCTCTATGATCATACGCTCTATTGCCAGGTTTTTCCTGATGTTTTCCGTCTCGCTCACCTCATCATGCATTATTCTAAAATAAAGGACATGAAATCAGGACTTAAACTTCAACAGGTGAGAAGACTTCATGCTAAATCGAGAGTTTTTAAGTAAATACCGTGAAAGCTCCTCCAGCTTAGATTTGGCATAGTCCAGGCTGTTTCTCTCGATATGTTCATGAGGTGTGTGGGCCAAAAGCTCATGGAGTGTAAGAATGTATCTTGGAATCTGGAGTAAAACAAAACAACAGTGAAGTCATGAAATAAATGCAAGACATCCTGTATATTCATATAGAGTAAATGCCTATTGTGTTTTTAAGGTGAAATTTAATCAGTCTGATGATCAGATGATTAATGGTATCATAAAGCATCATTCATACATCTCTAAATATATATATATAAATTATTATATTATTCTATTATAATACATTTCTTATTTCTTATTTGAGTATATTTGTAAAATTGCCAGTACTAGCATGCCTAAGGCATCCATTCAGTCTACACTGACATATCCAAAATATAGGGTTGTGAAGTAAGAGGGATAAAGGTATAAGATTAATTCAAATAATGCTGAATTAATCTAAAATGCTGTACTCTGATTTTAATCCCATTAGCTGAGAAATTCACTGATTCACAAGAATCTAGATCATTTGCAGAGTAACTGCTTTCAAGAAAAATCTGATATCCAATTTTTCCAGCTTGGTCCTTGAAAATTTTAAGATTGTTTGTAAATATTTATGTACTAACATTTGCAGATCCTTTTTCTTAAACGTGTGGTTTACTTAGTCTAAACTTCAGTACGGCTCTCTGTGGCTATTTGTTTAGGTCATTATGAACTTATTGTTTAACCATCAAGAACCTTTTTTCTCTTTGAAAAGTGATGTTGTCCTTGCAGCTCAGAGGCATCTAAACCATGATGCCACCACCTTTTTTTACAAACTTGGTACCACCTGTCAACAAATTTCTGATAAGAAAATGTATATTTTTTTGTGACACCAAAAAGTATTTTTAATAGCACAAACAAACAAACCTGAAACATTGGGTAAGTGAGAAAAGTCTCCAGAGTTCGTTCTTCACAGTCGGGCTTGGCCTCATACTGCTTCAGCAGCTTGTCAAAATCCCGGTTTTGCTTACAGTGAGCCAGGATCTGCAGGCTGTACTGGTGGTTCCTCACAAATTCTTGGTAGATGTTAAGCATGGGCAACAAAATGTCGAAGAGGTCAGCTGTGAACATATCAGTGCAAGTACAAAGAAAGTGATTAGAGACAGTGCTTAAGAACAAAACATAGCTTCTTCCCTCATTTCAGAGCACTCACAACACGTTTCTTAATGAAAGTAACATTAAAAGATCAAAGTAAAACTGAGGTTCCTTACCCAGCATTAATGTCGGCCAACTTGCTATTCTGGCCTTCAGTCCTTGGTAAAATATTTGATGCAGGAACATAATAGTTTCACTAAAATAAGAAAAGATACATAAATTAAGTAGAACAAAAATAATAAAATAAAGGGAATTTAAAAAATACTTGGAGCTGGAGTACATAATTCTGCTGTTTTATTTGTTTTATATTCATTTTACTTTTAAAGAATGGCTGGAGAACAAAATCAAACATTCATGGGTGAACAAAACAGTTTCAAAGAAAGTGGAATGTAGAGTACACACTGCAATAAAATCAAGACTTATGCATTTTAGCTATTTATCAGTCCTAATTCAATCTCTTGATAAAATAATTAATTACAACTGATATGTATGTGTCATAGAAAAGTCTATTTTGTGGGCTGTTGAAACAATGGCAGTAAACACTTTTTTTATTATTTTGCAAGAAAATTGCAGTGCATCAAAAGATCTAGCTGTACCAAGTTAAAAAAAAAAAAAAAAAGTCTTCACAAAACTAGACAAAGCTAAGGGTATACCCAAGTTATCCTTTATTGGCCTTTAAGAAAGTGATGACATTGTCTCAATAAGCTGAACTAAAGATTATATTAAATAGAAAATCAATAGTAAACTGAACAGTAAACCAAGTCATTGTGCAAGACAAAGACTCCCAGTAAAATAAAAAGTTTACTATTCAGAAGATTTTTGGGAAAAAAGAATAAGCCAACCTGTTGAGGAAAATGCTGCTGACATCATCATGCGTAATGGGAGGTTTCTTGGAGCTGGCAGCCATGCGTAGTGGACGCAAGAAGTTGTTCACAAGGATGTGAAGCTGCTGGACGTACTCGGCCTCAGAGTCCAGCATGCTAAACACCACCTGGTTCCTTTTCCTCATGCTCTCTGCGTGAGGTGAGCGAATGTAATCCTGGATGATGGTCTTCCATTTTCTTCTGCAAATCCAGCCTCTCAAAAAGCTTTGAACCTGCAGCACACAGTTAAGTCTGATGACATCTGTAACACAGCATAAATATATAAAATAAATATTGAAGTTTAAACTCCAAGCAATTACCTTTTTGATTTTCTTGATTTCTGAGTCATCTTCTGATGGGGCAGCAGCAGGGCTTGCATGGATCTTCTCATTGTCTTTGAGCAGTCCGGCAATCTGTGAGAACAGCAGCCAAAATAAAGACTAATCATTCACACTTGTGCTGTTTTCTTCCTCTCAGTTACTGTAGCAGCAAGTAAACAAAGTGACTAATTCATCTGGACAGGTCATAAGGGTGAAAAATTTGCATGACTAAACTTCCCAGTGTTCATTTCATTAACTCATGTTATTTGTAAAACTCATCTGTACATTAAATGTGTTTACTGACATTTTCTGCCGCCAAACTTTAATGTATTAGCAGGAGCTTAACAGGATTCTGGTGAAAAAAAACCCAATCTGAAGCTACTCTCAGCTCTTCAAATCTGAGAAAATGTGTTCTCTCACTTTGTTGCCACAGAAACGGTTAGATGTCATGACAACTTTAATGAATATTCAATTAATGGTTTGATTTAAAGCCTCACAATTGCGTATTAAAGTCAAATGACTACTCTACCCTAAGAAAACATCCAAAAATTCAAGTGGATGGAAACTGTTTTTTGTAGAAGGAGATGTAAGGTGGAGAGGTGGCTTATGCCCCAGTGACTGATGTGGCTGAGCTGAGGACAGGTTAGATATATCTGTGTTTATTCATAAGATAGAACAATGAGAGACATAATGTCTGTGCTCCTCATGCTTTGGACTTTCTATTTGTGGCTCTGGAAAGATATAGTGGCCAAAACCTGGAGTAGTTTAACATGCTTATCTAAAAGCACACATTTTCAGTTAGTACTGTATACAATGAAACTTGATACTTACATTCTGACTTATTTTACTGCTCTTTCTGAAAACTCATATTTTACACTTTAAACAGTCCTGCTTTCTTTTGAATATGGATTGTTTCTTAAGTAATAATTTTTTTCTGGGCTCAAGTTGATTATCTTTTTCCAAAAGATTTTCTGCTCTTGCTTGATTTTCTGTTTTAAAACAAATTCTCAAAGCCCCACTTCTCTAAAAAAAAATTTTTTGTCTCTCTTCCAGAGTCATAAATGTGAATTTGACAGAAAAAAAAAATCAAAATATAAAATACACTGAAGCTATGATATATCTATAGCGCTGTCTCAAAATATATTTTGTCAAAAACTCTTACCAGTCTGTTTTCTAGGTCAATAACAAGACCCTTCCGAAATGCTGGCCTTCACAAGCCCCCAAAATTCAAAAAGGACATAAGAAATTAACCAAATAACACTCTAAACCTGGTGGGTAGATCTGGCTTTCAGGGGACATGAGATAACCTGGAGGTCAACTCTAGGAGATACAGATATCTAAGAAGTCATCCGAGAAGACTCAGTGTTTTGGCAGGCATTGGATGCAGCAATGGAGCTTTAAAGTCAAATGTTGGAATTCCTGGCTCTTTGGATTAATGAGTTGTGGAAGATGACAAAACATAAAGGCTTGTCGAATCGTCGGCAACCAGGGTGGGACAAACCACGGAGAAACCATGGCCAGGATAAACTATGGAGGCACTCAGAAGAGTCTTTTATTGTGGGTTCCAGTAGTGCTGGAACCCACAATGAAAGGCAATAGAGGGACCTGAGATGAGAAGTGAGATTGGGATCTGAAAGAATCAGACAAAGTCACAAAAACTGATTCTGGAGGTACGGTGTTAACCTGACTGTGTGGAGGCAACAAGTGGAGGCTTGCTGATAATGCCCCGATCTTTGGTTGCAGAAAGAGAACATAAGAAGTGCTGAGAAATCTGGTGGAGAAAATGTGATTGATGAGTGATAGGTGGAACAATGCTGATCACGGTAAAGGAAATTTGAATGTCGAACGCATATTTAGGTTTCAAGGTGGGATGCAAATGGAAATTTCTTGGCACCAGCCTGATGGGTTGTCCTCCTGCACACAGACTAAGAAGTTGTATGGAAGTACTTTAGACATAGAGCTATAACTAGAGTAGACCTGCACAGAGTTGACTCCTGCTCCATTTATTTCATTAACAGTGGAAAAGGCATGATCTTAACATATTCATATAGTTAATTTGTGTCTCCTCCAGCTGCTGCTAGATCCATTGATGGCCTTCTGCAGTGTTGTTATCTACTCCAGTGTTTTTCAATGGTACTCCTCAAAGCACACTCTGCATGGAAGGTTTAGATTTTACTCTGCTCTAACACACCAAATTTAAACAATTAAAGTTCAGCACAATCTGTTGATCAGAATTGAAATCATGTGTGCTGGAGCTAAATCACTCAGGATAGCATGCTTTTAAGTCAGGGTTGAAGAACACTGACAATATAATCTAACTTCTATCTTAAAGTAACTGACTCCTTGTGTTGTAAAATTGCAAAAGCCATAACCTTGCAAAGCTAATAATTATGCATCACATATTCAAATATGTATGTATGTAAAACAACAAAAACCAATCTGTAAATATTACCTCTGACTTGAGCCGTTCAATCTCTATTTCACCATCTTCTATCTGTTGTCGAAGTTGCTTAGCAACTGTTTTCTCCGTCTCAACAATTTGAAGCAGATGAAGATACTTCTGCATGAGCGACTCATGCTCGGTGGCCAAGTTTCTGTAACTGCATCAAACATTAAACATGTTTACAGGTGTGCTGAATCTTAAGCAAAATATAATTATCAATAATGTATAGTTTTTATTTACACCATGTTAAAGCAATCAACTCATTAGGTCTAAACTTTATAGCAGGGTCTAATTGGCATGTGTGATGTGTGCGTTTACCTGGCATGTGATATTGCAGCCACCCATTCATCGCAGTCTTTTACATCTTCTGTACGCAACTCAAGAGCCTTTTGGTTTTCATGAGTAAAGTTTACAGTAAAGTAGTACTGAAAAAACAGGAGAAAAAGAGAAACGAGTTACTGGATATAAAGAACAGCACTACCATTCAATGCCGTAAATATCGGTAAGCAGAGACAGAAGTTGCTTACGGGCACATGACCTCTTAGGGGCCCCATCACTGACATCTGGTAGGCCCCCTACCCAATTGTAGACTAGGAAGTCTCTTGGCAGATGTACAGTAATGGTGTGAAAAGCTCCTCTTAAACCCACCTGATACTGAAGTGACTGACCGCACCGGATCATATTTATACCGCAACACATGCCAGATTTCAACATGATGGTGAGCCGTTTAAACACAACACTAATAGCCAAGCAGACAGTGGTACTTTTAATTACTGTGTTAATAACTGTGTATAGTGCAGGGCCATAATGCGGACAGGTGTTCAGCATGAATTGATTTCTACAGTGAACCAGGGAAGTCAACCAAAAGCCACAAAGAAAAAAACAAACTAAAAAAAAACATGACCCCAAAAGCCACAAAAAGAAAAGGTTGGTGGACAATCTGACAGTGCACTCCACTGCATTAAGAATGAGAGCCTCATCCTTGAGTTTCTGCAGTGGCGTTGTTCTAAAGTAGCTTCCCCAATTAAATGTGTTCCTCCTCTAAATTCATAATGGACCTTCTTCAGAGAGAGCGGAGCCACTTTTCTCTATCTCTACTTAACGTCCAACAATACAGCTGTTGAGAAGCTAACCCTGGTAAGTGGAAGCTCCACAGTCAAAAACTTGGCTTTAGAGACACCAGGCAGCATAGTCAAATATGTGCTGGGGGGCAGAATGGGCAGTATCAAATCCTTCTTGAGAATAAGGTTAAATAAAGCAAGATTTTTATTCGAGTTGGTTGCAATGATTGCACTTAAGCTGATTGGGAGGGGTCACTAAAATGAGTATTTCTTCCGTGTGCAAGTTTTTCCAAACAATGTCTGTCTCCGTAGTTTTCTCTTTTTCCCATATTTCATTGTCATTACACTGTCACAAATACAGAGCAATGAAATGAACTCTGTATTTAACCAATCCCCTTAGGGGAGCAGTGGCTGCCATTGTGTGGCGCCCGGGGAGCAGTGTGGGGATTAGGGGTCTTTTCTCAGAGACCCAGAGTGGCAGTCTGTGGGAGTGGGGCTCGAATTCAGAACCTCAGGATTCTAAGCTCTATGCCCTAACCACTAGTCCACCACTCCTGCCCTCCTTCCTGGTCTGACCAGTGATGATGGTGTCCTGAGAACAAGGTGGGCTAAGTTGATAATTGGCAAAGTTATGGGTGAAAACCTAATTGGATTCGTAGAAATGGCATCCATTCCCCCATTGGATGGTGCAGCTCCTCTTTCTAGGGATCTGGAAAAAGTGTACAGTATTATTCCTCCAAAACCCTAACAGCGCAGGATGCAGATTAGGAAGCAGAGTCGTAGTTTAACCCACCTCTCTACAGCCTGTCTACTTTTACTAACCCTTTACTGCATTCAGATAGTGTCTTGTCCATGGCCAAAACCAAATAAATTAGAAAAAATCCTAAAAGTATCTGAATAATATTCAACTTAAAATTTTAATGACCCAAATAAAAAAAAAAAACTATTAAAAACAATTAAGTGTGGTTTATGTAAGATGAAATCTCTCTCTTCATACATTTTGTTAGTTAATGACCTGATCTTAAATTATCAAATTGATTTATGTTGTCTTGCAGACACCTGGCTGAGACAAGAAATTATGCTAGCATAAATTACTTAACTCCCTCAAGCTATTCAAATTTTCGTATGCCTGGAAATTCTGGGTAAGGAAAAGTAGTAGCAACAATCTTTCGGTCTGACTTATTGATTTGTCTAATGCCAGCTGGTTAGTTAAAATACCTTTGAACATTCAACCCTTATTTTAAGCTATCTGAATTGGAAAGGAACAAAACCACCACTGTAACTTTGTATCATCCACCTTACTCAATATTCTCATCAGTTTTCAGAGTTCTTATCTGATTGAGTGTTAGATAATTACTGACAAGGTCATTATACTGGGGGATTTTAACATTCATGCCGATCACAAAGGTGATAGCTTATATACAGCCTTTAATGATATCTTTGACTCGAAAGCCTCTGTTCAAAACGTGCATAGTCTCACTCATTCTGATCTTCATACTTTGGACCTTGAGCTGACATACAGCATTGATTGTGAAGAAAGAACAGTATTTCCTCACAACGCTGTCCAATCTGACAACTTTTTTACTAACCTTCAAACTAAATTTAACAGAGTTCTCTTCTGTATCAGATCATCATCAGATAATGCAGTAATAAATGTGTTTTTATATCCTTTGTACTACTGAATAGTACTGTAGAGTGCACTTATTTTATTTATTCAGCTTTACAAATTCATGATTTTATTGATGGGGTTAGTTCTTCTCTATGCCCTGCATTATACAATGTACCCCCTTTGAAATATAGGAACATTAATAACATGAGGCTGGCTCCTTGCTTTAAAACAGAGCTATACTGCTGTATAAAATGACTCTTCTCAGAACTATAGCAGAACATTTCTCCTAGTTTATAGAGGAAAAATAAAATAATCCTTCATATATATTTAATGCTGATTTAATGCACACCCCCTGCTCTTAGTAGTAATGATTTTATGGGATTATTTATAAATAAGACTGATTCTATCAAAGATAAGATCACTGGCAACCCTTTAAATGTAACTGATTTGTCCCTGGAGGGTGGGACAGCATCTAAGCTGGCTGTGGAACATGGGCTATGTTTTGACTGTTTTGATCCAACTGAGATGTCAGACTTCTTAATTTGTTAGCTTCAACTTGTATGTTGGATCCAGTTTCAACCAAGTTATTTAAGGAAGTATTCACATTTTTTTCTCCCCTCCATTTGCATAGAGTGGATATTCCCATTGTGGGACAACAAAGGGATTTACATTACATTTACATTAGATTTTAGATATAATTAATCTACCCGTTACAGGGATATGCACCTTAGGCAAGGTAACTGTTTGCTGTAAACCTTTTTTATTAAACAGCCTCTCGACTCAGATGACTTGGACACTTGTAGAACCATATCTAATCATCCTTATAATCCTTATAATTTTATCATCACAATTACACTGGACTTACATTATTTTTTAGGAAGGCTTGGATATCCTATAGAAATGTAGGGAACAGCACTAGGTTTGATTATATCTTATATGTCTGACAGATTTAAGTTTGTTCATGTTAATGTGAATCTTCTTCAAGCTCCAGGAATATCTGTGGAGAACCGCAGGGAAGAGCCAATTATCTTTACTATATACAGTATATGCTCCACATTGGTAGAATTATGACACGTTGGGATTAATTTCCATTTTATGCTGATGATACTCAGCTATACTAGTCCATAAATCCTGATAAAAGTATCCCATTACATTGACTAGAGGAATGTCTTGAAGACATAGAAACCTGGATTACTCTAACTGTCTGCTTTTGAATACACAAAGAAGAGAAGCTATTTTTGTGGACTAGAGTTTTTAATGACAAAGATTATTAGTTAGTCCCTTCACCTGGATGAGATTGAATTGATCTCAGATAATAATAAAAAATATTGGTTTGGTTTTGATCACAATTTGTCATATAAGTCCCATTTCAAAGAGGTTTCAAGAATGTTGTTGCATGATCTCTGAAATATTGCAAAAATAGCCACTACCAGTGACAAAACTGATTACTGCCACTGAATCAGCCATCCGTAATAACAACATGGCAGTGGCAGAAGTGGAAGAACTTAGGCTGAAAGTAACAGCAGCACTCTAGGGCAAGGTTTCTCATTTCCAATGTTTCCCAACAGGAAAGCATGGCAGTTAAATCTCTTGGCAAAAAGCATAATGTGACCATTTTGCCAGCAGACAAAGGTAGATGCACATAGTAATTCAACACAACTGATAACCATTAGAACATAATGAATCTACAAATGGATAGTAAAAACTACAACCTGAAAAGTTACCAAACCAACATCTACAAAAAGAAAGTAACAGACTCTCTCCAAAAACTACAACGAGAGAAAATAGAGTTCAATCGCGTATCCAGGGGAGACCATACCATGCATATATAATCTTCCAGAAATACACAAGGAAGGGGTCCCACTCAGACACATTGTCAGCAGCATTAACGTGGTGACACACTGTACTATAAAATATCTTTGAACAGTTTTGACACCATTGTTTGGAAACACCAAACACCGCATACAAATCTCCACAGACATTATTGCCTGTCCTGCATCAGTGTTGTCAGGTAGAGTCAAGCTTTTCTAGCCCAAACATGTTAAAAAAAATTCCACATCGTACAACAACCTATATATATATTATACATATATTATAATATTTACTGTGTGAACATGAACACACTTCAGTACAACTTACAGTACTTCATCACTACATGTCAAAACACTACAACCAACAAAACCTGCCCAGAGTAGTTCTCCATAAACAACTCTGACCCATCCAGCACAGCAATTTGAGATCCAGTGACTGCCATGTGACACATCACATACCAGTACTTACATGTTTGCAGATGGATTCATAACCACGCAGAATACTCTCTTTTTACATTTAGGAGAAAAAACTAAGATCAGTGTGCACACAAAGATTTGTGACCCATTGGACCTATGCCTATCAACCTCATACTTCAAATACAGGGAAAACTCCTGAATAGGAGTTTAAATGGTTTCAAAAAAGTGAGTGAAAGTCTTGTTGCCTTCAAATGTAAGCCTATTTTGTGATTCTGCTTCATTCTATCTCTATTTTCTGATTCTGTAGTTTTTGTGAGTTTAATCGCTACATTTATGTGCTCTCTGTTTTTTTTTGTCATAGCAGTTTCATCTAGTCTGTTCTTGCTTAGCGGACACTCCATCCTGGAGACAAACATCAACTGAGCTGCTGTCATCAACGCCTTTGGTTATAGGTGATAGATCTGGGCCTGTTCTTCAGTGTAATCTTGTTTCTTAGACATAGCTATGGGCTTAGCTTCTACTGTGAC